TTACTTTATTCTGCATCAGGTCTTATTTTACTTCATTTGTACTGAAATCAAACAAAATAAAGTAAAATTTGAAATAAATATATATCCAAATTTGCACCCAAATCATTTGTACTACCATAACTTTGCATCAGTGCAAATTTATTTCTAGTGCAACCAAATGCAGCCTTAAGGAAAATTTCATTAAAGACTACCAAGAGCTCAAACTTCAAGAATTACCAACACTATTGATAAAAAACCATAGAGAAACCATCCAGTCCAAGGGTTTTAGATCTATCCATTGAGAAGATTGCTTCCTAGATTTCTTCCACCGAAAACCTTCTTTTCGATAACTGAGGATTGTTCCTCAGAGATTCTATTCCATTCCAATTCCACCCAATCTGAACAACTCCCAAATGGTTCAGAAAACAGAAACTTAAAATGATTCACAAATATCCTTACAACCTCCCGACTCTCTCTAATCTCCTAACCTTCCACTATAAGGATTGAAAAGTTAAAAGTGTTCTTATAGGAGCATTTTCAAACCAAAAACCATGGTAACTTGAAATACCTTTTGGGTATTGAAGTTGCAAAGACAAAGCATTGAATTAATTTGTGTTAGAGGAAGTATGTCCTTGATTTTCTTGAAGAGGCCAATGTTTCCAAAGTGCAAAGCACAAAAAAAATGTGCACGGGCCATTTTATGCCCAAGGTGCAAGGTGCAAGGCGCAAGGCGAGCTATGCGCCTTTTCGAAGCAAGGCGCAAAAATGCAAAAAGTACTAAAAGTTAAAAAATGCCAAACAATAAAAATGAAAAATATTAAAAATATTAAGCTCAATATTAATTAAAAATATAAACTTAAATTTTAAAATAAATGTTTATAAAAACCTATTATCTTATATTAAAAACACATAAACATTACATGTAAAACATATTTAAAATGAAAAAAAAAACAAGCATAACATATAAAGCATATTCAAGCATGTAATCTCTTAATCTCTATTTTTTTTCCAATTGCATTACTTCAAATAGCTAATGCGATGCTAAACATTATGCGTTCCTGATTCTACGATCCCAAATAAGTCCATATCAGGGTCTTAAATTCTTAATCCCTATAAAAAAGGTTTTATAACTTTAAGTGTCTTTTTAAAATATCTTTTATTAGGATGAATGAATGAGCAACATTAGCAAACATGGGGTCCAACCCAGCTGCTAAGCACCAAAAGACAGAACAGAAGGCACAAATTTTCAAAAAGCACGCACTTGGAGGTGCTTTTTGAAATTGAAGCCTATACTTCTGCAGATTGGGTTGGATTAGCCTCTAATAGGAAGTCTACAACAAGATACAAAACCTTCCTTGGAGGTAATTTAGTCACTTAGAAAAGTAAAATGAAGGGATGAGAGATCCATCGTATGGACGCCAGAATCTTGCGGAATAGAATGGGCGAATTACAAAAAAAATCTCTCCATCCTACTGGAAAACGTATTCTCTATTTTAGAAAAATCATATTTTTCAAGGATCAATCTTGAACCAAGAACCAAACTAGATCTAAACAAAAACAGTAAGAGAGGGATATACCTAATACGGAGAAACAATATCTCCCAATGGGGTGTTGACGCCCAAGGAAATAACCAAAGACCGCTCTCACTGAAGATGGTGCAGTGTAGGATGGAGCAGAATCAGCAACGTTCTTCAAAAGAACCAAATCCTTCGCAAGAATCAGCTGGACGGCACGTGAGCACGACTTCCAATCAGCCCTTTCACAAAGGATTGATATCAAGATCCAATCTTGATCACTCCCACTGAGAATAGGAGATCAAACTGGCAAATATGGCGGCGGCAAGAAAGAATTAGCGCAGGGATGCTGAATTCTTTCTTCTGTGATTTCAGCTCTGAAGAGAATGTGAATCTCTCTAAAGGTTGCCGCCCCTCCTTTTATAAGCTTAAAGGGATCAGCTCCTAATCCCATTAGGAGTTGCTGATCCAAATCATATTTGGATCAGAATTTCCTTTAAGTGATAAGGG